ATCCTAGTAGTCGGTATGTGAAGGGTTTTTGGATATCTATTCTTATCTTGTTTGCGGTAATAATGTTTGAAAAATAAAAGGGCAATATTCAAGGGAACGTCGTATACATATTTTGCAAAGAGTGATCTTGGCCTCTGTTGTGAAGAATTTTTCATTATGAAGCCAATTAACCGTCTACATTTGGAAATAATAAACGAGGCATGTTGTTGATAATTTACGCTTCGTGTGTAAGTAATACCTAGATCGTGCACTGATCTCAGTGTTTCGAGTCTACTTTGATTCAAGCAAAGTTGTAAATCATATGGATGTTTTGCAGAATGCATGATGATTGTTATTTCTCGCTCCAGATAGTAAGGCTATAAGGTCATTTCGAATCTGGGATATACTTTCGCCTAGAGTTTCAGGTATAAAGCTGTATACTGTTTTGAAATCGTCAGCGTATAAGTATGGTCTCCAAAATGTAGCGGTGTTATATATATCGTTTATATACATAAGAAACAAGAGTGAACCTAATACACTTCCCTGGATAATTCCACTAGTTTCTGATCTGGGTAATGAGAGATGGTCATTGTAATTTACCATTTGTTTACGTTCTGTTAAGAACGAAGCAAACCATGAGTATAGTGGGTTGTTTATGCTGAAGGACTTTAGTTTGATGAGAAAACATTTGTGTAGGACCTTATCAAAGCCTTTCTTGAAGTCTAAGAATAGAACTCATACAAGGAGTCCGTTTTTCCGTTTCAGAGTTATATCATTCAGGTAGTCTACTAGTCATGTATCGCATGATCTGGACCTAAGAAATCCATACTGGGAGGTTGAGATGAGATTATTAGTAAATAGATGTTGGACTACCGCCGCCTTAACTACCGTTTCCATCACTCTAAATACCACTGAGGTCATGTTTATGGGCCGGTAATTTTCAACATTTGATTCAGGTACTGTTCTAATTTTGTGGATGATATATGTAGTTTTCCACGCAGCAGGGTAACACACTGTAGAGAGTGATAACACAAATAGTTTGAGGAGCAAAACACACATATTATCACCTCCATATTTTAGCATGCTAGCCAGAATACCACCTGGTCCATCTGTGTAAGAGTGTTTCAGTGTAATAATTGCCTTAGAAATGTTCTGTGCATTGTGGTCTACATTAGTAATTTCACAGGAAGGCACTGGAATTGGTTCTAATTCATTTAATGATTTTTCGTCAGTTAATGGGAAACAAAAGTGTCCACTGAATTGTTCTGTAACAAGTCTAGGATCTTCGTATACTTGTTTGTCCTTAATAAGTACGTTTACCCCTTTTGATTTAGAACGTTTAAGTCTATTTTGTAGGAGTTTGATAACTGAGAAGTCATTGTTAGGCTCAATGACACGTTTTTTCCTGCGCGACTGTTTTTTGTGCACTTCTTGCCTCTGTCTGGGTAAATATTATTGTTATCGTAACTAAGGAGGAAAGTCATTAAGGTTGTGGAATCGAGTACTATGTCTTTGAAGACGTCTTCACATAGAGACCGATATATACAGATCTTTAGAAAACTTAGGTTTCCGATATTCTAAAGGTGCGATTTTGTTAGAGATATTAATGATTTTGTGATAGAATATATTAGTTAGTGTGTCTGTATTGTTTACAGTAAACAAGGTTCCCCACTCAGTACTTCTTAGGTAATTTTGTAAGTTCTTCCAATCGACCTTGTGATAGTTCCTACGAATTCGTAGAAACTGTAGCACTTATGTGCTACCGGCTGTAATAATTATATTAAGGCTACATATGACAATGTCATGATCGCTACCAAGAAACGTTTGTCTGGCATACATACTGTAGCCTGAGAGAAAATGAAGTCACCCTTGACGTTAAAACCTCGATTACTTAGTTGTGGAGTCAAACAAATAATGAAGTCTTGATATACAATCGTTTGAGTTTAATGGTAGAACATCGATGGTTGACCCAAAAAAGCTTTTGAGGAGTCAAGGCAATTAATATCAACCTTCTGCTTGCGATCAAAATTGCTTGTCCATCTGTCCACCGCAGTCAGCAGGTTGGTTATACAAGAGTGACCCTTCCTGAAACTATGCTGTTGGAGTGAGAAGAAGTTTAAGGATAGTTAATAGTCTTGTATACAATCGCATATCACGGACTCCATGATTTTTGAAGGTATGGAGAGAAGAGCCACCGGTCGGTAGCTTGAAGGTTCGCTGCGTCGACCTCCTTTGAAAATCGGTGTGATGTGAGCCAGCTTCCAAATTTTCGGTAGTTTGCCTCGGCCTAGCAAGTGTGAAAACATCACCCTGAGCGGTGTTGCCAGGATTGAAGCTGCTTCCCTCAGTATAGCAGAATGAACCATATCCGGACCAGGAGAAGTGTCTTTTTCAGGTGCTGCAGTTTCCGGTACACCAAGTCAGCGCTCAGGTTCACTCCTAAACGTCCTGTGGAGTAGCAGATGAAGCTTTTATCAATATTGTTAGTGTGGGTTGGTTGGAATGTCTGAGAGTATTGTTCAGCCAGAAGGCTAGCGGCGTCGTCGTCGTTGTTGGTCGGGCAATTAGGACTCCAGTTTTGGCTTGTCGAAGAGAGGCGGCATAACAGAATAAGCTTTTCAGAGTGGAGGCAAATTTATCCACAAGCTTTATCTGGTTCTGAAGTCCGTCTTCTCTTACAGCCTTCGTGCATATGTTTCTTATGTGTTTGTATTGCCTGTACGCGCCGTTGTTGTCATTTCGTTTGTATTTTACCCAACAGTGCCTTCTGCGACTTAGCAGGCGGAGTGCAGTTCTTGATAACTGTAGGGTGCTTAAAGATTTTGGTGACCATTTGTTGAATAAACTGTCCTGTGGCACATAAGATGGTGTGCAGTAAGAAATCCCAATAAGCATCCATATCAAGTTGAGTGTGAACTTTCCAGATCACATGCTGTAGATTGTCCTGTAAAGCTGACACATTCAACTGTTCAAAATTCGAGTGCCTGTTGTTGGTAGGATGTCTTAGCTCAGTTTTGTTGATAAAACTGAATGCTTTGACGGCATGACCGCTTTTTCTTAGGGGATCCAGGTTTGAGAGGTTGTCAAGTAGAAATTCTTCGTTTGTAAATACCCAGTCTAAGTGCGACGGTATCTGGCTGTTTCTCCAACTTATTACCGACTTCACAATTTCGTATAATACCAGATTCTCGGTTGTTCAACCTCACTGAAGATTGTATACATGACTATCCTTAAACTTCTTCTCACTCCAACAGCATGGTTTCAGGAAGGGTCACTCTTGTATAACCAACCTGCTGACTGCGGTGGACAGATGGACAAGCAATTTTGATCGCAAGCAGAAGGTTGATATTAATTGCCTTGACTCCTCAAAAACTTTTGATTTGGTCACCTACATATGTTGAAAATGCCACAGGTATTCGTGGTTTGACAACGCTTTAACCAGTAAGACCTAATATGGAGCGTACCCACCAATTTAAAACAAATACTGATGCGAGGACTTTCAAAGATATATTTGATAGGCTTGATAGGTCTGATTTAATCTGGCTATCGATTGGAGGGGTTGTTGGACACGGCGTTACCATTAGTGATCTGGTGCGGATGCATGACCGAGCGCCTTCAGCTAGGTGATTCCATTAAAACGAATGTGGTCAGCATCCAATGTAGAAAACTCATTGGGCTATTTATTTTGGGGATTTATTTACCGCTACAATGTCTTATCAATAAGCTCAAACCATTGGGTATCAGAACACCTTCAATTGACTGGCTCACTTCATATCTAAAGAATCGGCATTTTAAGGTCAGGGTTAACTTTACTTTTTCTCAGGCTATGGAATGTCCTAATGGGGTCCCTCAGGGCTTAGTACTAGGATCTCTCCTCTTCTTGATTTACATAAATGATCTTCCACAACAGATATCGTCAGACTTATTACTATTTGCTGATGATGTGAAACTTTGGAGAGAGATACGCAACCAAGACGATACACAGGCATTTCAGAAGGATTTGACTCGACTTCAAAGTTGGGCAGACGATAACAGACTTACCTTTAATACTTTAAAGTGTAAAGTAGTCCATCTGCGTCATGTTGCAGACTACAGTTACAACTTAAGAAACTCCTCTCTAGTAGTATCCCGGGTTAAAGAAGATCTAGGAGTCCTGGTACTCTACGATTTGAAGTCTTACGCTAACTGACAAAAATCCCTTTCGAGCAAACCTTGTACTGGTAACATTGAAGCGCATTTTCGGCCAGTTTGACAGAAGAACTTTGCACATAATCTTCATCAGTTTTGTTCGTCCTCATTTAGAGTACAGAAACATAGTATTTCCTCCCCCACCCTAAAAAGATAAGGAAACTCTGGAGTGTATCCAACGGCGAACCACGAAGTCAGTTCGTGGATTCAAATTCAGACCTTATGAAGAGCGTCTCCAATCGCTTAATCTTTACCCATTAGAGTATAGGCATCTTAGAGGTGACCTTCTAGTGGCTTACAGTATCCTTAACACTTCTGGGCATCCCCTTAGACATCTACTTAAGCTTAGTCCCAATACAAATCTAAGCCGTAACATCCAGAAATTGGAGACACAACATGGCAGAACGGACTGTAGATACAACTTCTACTCCTCAAGAGTTGTCAAATGCTGGAATTCGCTGTCGGCTGAACTAGTCCAAGCGACTTCTCGGAAGTCCTTTAAGAGGAAACTTGACATATTCTTAAGGACTAAGGATAACATCTTATTATGATTTACCAGCTCCTTTATTCCCTCTGTTATCGTTAATATACCTAGATTTCTGCCTGGAGGTATTGGTGATACACTGCTACTAGACACGGAAGCCCGTTAAGCGAAAGCTCCTTGTATTCCGTCCACAACCATTTGAACAATTTGAACCATCTATTGTCAAACAGACCGCGGACTTGTTTGTGACTTCAAAGAAGTATGTCCTGAATGTATTAATCTTGAATCTGATAAATATATAGTTCTCAATTATGGAAAACCGTTTCGTTTTTGTTTCATTGGTTGTGAAGTTACTCCCTCCCTTGGCGCACCTTGTTTCGTTTGTGAACAGCTGTACCCGTGGAGTTTAAGCTCTGTTTGGTGGTCCTATGGATCAGTGCGAGATTTACTCAACTCGAGGTAGCGCCTTGGAATCAGCAGTCACTTTACCTAGAAGGTACGTACAGTAGTATATCGTCAGACATGCAGCACAATTGAGTTAATGGTTAATCATCAATTAGTAACCTCCGTGTTTACGGATTGAATGGTCACTCGGTAACTTTCTGAGAGTTTTCCGAGGGACCAAATGTTTTTATAGACCATACTTCATGCTAAAAAGATTACAGAGATATAAAAGAAGTGCTTGTTCATGGTAACATTAGTAATGGTCTAACTTTTAGATGTCCAGTGGTCTGTCTTTTATAGAGACTATGTTTTTGTCTAGCGAAAAACCTGCTTATGGTATTTTGAAACACATTTCTCACATGTTTTAGGGCTTAAGTTGGGTTTGACAGTGTAATTTATTTCCAATATTAAACGCAACTGTATATTTTCGAGTTTTAAGATATATACGTCATGGTCTGTTAAATGCAAACTTGTATTTGTCACATTACAAATACAGATCTTCAAGGTCTGGTATGCTAAGCTATCTCAACTTAAAATCTTGGTTTCCCATCAGTCTATCCGTGTATTTACTAGTGAAAACCAACAAAAATCATGCTCCGTTCATTTTATATCTTAAGGTATCCTTCTATTATGTGAATTTTTGTAGCGTAGCTCTGATTGTTGTCTTGTTTGCTGACTTGCAGCTACTTCCAGTCTCGTCAGTAGCGTTCAAGTTTTGGCTTTTTGGCATTTGTTCAACCTGAGCTACATTTTTAATGTGGCAATTATTTCTGAATTTAAGATCATAATACGAGTTCTCGTGTTCTTGCTGATCGTACTGGATTGTATATTGCCGAACTAATTTAGGTAATGTGTGACTAGTTTATACTCTCATCAAACGACCAAATTAATTTGGAAGTAAAATCGCCGTAAAATATAAAATCTGTAAGCACACTTGTTCTTAGTAAGATCGTGAACTGATTAATGTAAAAACCACTGTTGAGAACCTGGGAGCACTGGAGGGCCGTTTCGTCTTAGTGTGGGACTCCTCAGCAGTGTTTATTCACGGTCCTGCATGTGAGACTAATAACAAACTTGTTCATTTACCGACTGGGGATAAGCTTTAAAATAGAGTACAGAAGTGCTGTCTGAATGTGACCGGTGAAACACGGTTTTCCGTTCTGTGGTAACAGTTGGAATATTTTCACAAGTTTGTTATCTCCTAATCATTTACTCAAGAAGTAATGTTTCGTCCCACTGTTGTTTTGTCCTGGTTGGAAAACTTAACTATAAAGTATTTTGATGTTATGTATCACTCGATTTTCTCCCTAAATATTTAGTAATAATTCTTTATTGTAATACCAAGAAACAAGACTTTTACTTGTCTTTGGTAAGTAAATATTTATGGCACGACTGACTACAACGATAGGTTTTTCTGTAACATCAGGTTCAAATCACCTAGAGTAAGTAAGTTTGTGTGGCTTTTTAAATAATCGGTCAGTTGTATAAACGACGTAGAATCTATGATATAAGGTTTCATTTGTATGTCCTTACATTCAAACTTAATTTAGTACGTTTTTCTTGTCATGTAGCCATGGAAAACTCAAACGGGACCAAGGGGAACTCATGGATGATGCTGTAAAACTTGCTGCTGTGAGTTAATTTTGATTTTATTCCAACCATATATGAATTACTTTTTGAGCTCATTTTGTGTTAATATATTTCTGACCTAATAAGCAGTCCAACTAAATTCAATTTCGTATTTTATAGCTGAGTACTCAAACCTCCAAAAATGGTTCATAAAAATAGAAATAACCACTCTCGATTTCTAACAGTTCAGTTAACTAGATAAATATCGTGTTAAATTGAGATCACTGATTAACAGTGGATGGTTTCAAATAGTTCAATGGGTAAGGCGAATCAACCATTATTTTCCCTATTTATGTACAATTATTACAGACTCAATATCGTTCCATTATGTAAACTCTTCTGACGGTGCTCTTTATAGATCACTGCATTTGGATATTTATCTGCAGTTATACCACTGGGGTCTTAGTAAATGCTCTCCGGTAGTGCGTCAGAAATTTGTTCATATTCATCGTTGTTGTTTGTTATCTTAAAACTGACAAAACTGATTATTCAGTAGCTACATCAGTTCCTTTTTAGGAAATCTAGAATATATCAAAGTCTTTTAACAATTCATCTTATAGACATGGGGGTAGATTAGTTGATTAGTACGTAACCTCATTTGTTATTTATTCTCGAATCCATTTTTGTGATGCAATCTTTTCTGTCTTCCTATAGACATATTTTCTAAATAACTATATATACGAATGTACAGCTTAAGTAAATGATTTCGTCGAGAAGAAAATTTTCGCTGAATTCTCTTTTTCATATTCAATGACGCGATGGGTTATTTTAATTATTTTTTGCTTCATTTGTTTTTCACCAAATATTTGATCATGTGGTTCGATTAGGGAATTTATAGCTAGTCATTATTGTCTCAGGTTGTACACTGGCCTACTGATTTTTATGAACAATTCTATATATACAGCCGCCCATCTGGAGGCGTGATGACATCTGAAGTAGGTTAGAATAAATCCAAAAGATTTCAGACCAGTTATATAAAATCATGGATTGTTGGACTAAAACCTGTTGGTAAATGCGGGTTATCTTGTGATCCGGGCAATGACTGATTATTCGTTGAATACATTGGATGGCATGACTTAGAAACTACTGCAGTGACACATACATGAACTCTTTATTTTTCTTTAGATTTTGAGTTCCCATATTTCTTCATAGTTATCTTTTTAACCATGTTCTTGATGTTTATTCTCTCAATATTGTTTATGCTACTATTATTTCGAATCTTTTGCTACTCATCTTATTAGTTTCATCTCTTTGTTCCGATATGGTGTGATTTGAGTTAGCATTTGTGCTAGGCTAGCCCCCAAATGCCCTGGTACGGCCGAGAGTGGGGAAAGTCCTCTCTCCCTCTCCAAATGCTCTCACATGGCCACGCGTATATAGCCTCTGCCAGGGAAGTCCTACTCATCGCTTTCTCGTGGCGGAGGTGTTGTTAACGAAATTGGGAGGACGAAAAGCGAATGTCCGGCTCAGGGTTTAACCGGGTTGGTAGACATGGTGGATTTATCTAGGGGAGTTGGAAAACCTTCATTCCAAACCAATGGTGCACATGGGCTCCAGTATCCTGAAGGAACAAATGGCGTATGAACCAATCGCTGGTCACCGGCTATCATGGGACTGCATCTCCTTGCGATGCTCCACTGCCTTGTGGATCAGACCTTCGTGTCGAAGGCTCCGGGTGTGGCCCCCTAAGAAAACCACCTGCTTCGGTTTGGGCACCCTGGGAGTATCGCCGCCCTCACACTAATCAAATGAGATCTGTGTGGCGTATATGTATTTGGTGCATCCTTGTACAGGTATCTGTGTGTTAAAATAATAAAGTAGGCTATTCATTGATTATTTGTTATACTATTCATTTGAGTAGGTAGATCCATTAGATTTTTTATCAGATTGTTATTCCTCTCTAAATATATCATTTTTTCATGTGATGTTTTCCAATATGGATCTGGATTTGGTGATAGCTTCCGTTGTTCCTATTAAGTATTCGGTGCTTTCTACTTTTTAGATTAAAATTTCACGACAGTCACAACCATCAGATTCAGATGGTCTAACTGTAATAAACACATGTGAAACAAACGCCATGAGTGTTTTACCTCGTCTACTTCGAACTATGACAAGCAGAAATTCTCAGACAGCTAATGATAATCGATCTGCCTTTGAAAATAATCAAATCTCAAATGGTGAATTATGCTTTTCAGTGTCTGTCCCTGGACCAACTGTCAATGATAGTGATTCTTCATCTTCTTCCTCTTCTTTTATGTCAACTCCATCTTCCGGTTCATCATTGATTTCATTTCTTTCTCCTGGACATTTAGGACCTGTTGCTGCTATGGCCGCTGTAGCGTTGTCAACTGCTGTAACTACAATGTCCGTAAATGATATTCAAGAATCTTCAGGTCTAGTAACTTTAGCAACTGCTAGTAGCCTAATTGAAAAAGAATGGCGTGCACGTGCTTCGGTTGTTAATAGTAATAATGAAAGTGTAAATAATGCAAAAGAAAATGCTGAAACTACACTTACTGTCCAAAATCATACTGATTTATTAACATCTACTATTCAAGGAAATATTGATAGAAATCAACAATTCTCTTTGGATGGTTCACCACCTTTAGTAATTGGTGCTTTAAATACTTCATCATCACAGTCCTTATTAAATGAATCGACCCCAGTGACTAGAGCCGTGTTGAACGTTCAAAGTAAGGAATTCCTCATGTTACTTTGTGGGAATCTCTTGTATCAATGCATTTCTTATTTACTATTTTGTAAACGATAGTCCACAAAGGCGTTAACCTTGATGATTCAAACAAATAACAACTACTGTGTGCTCCGTTGTCCCAAAGTAATGGTATTTTCTAACAGATTTATGTACTTCTGAATTACTGTTACAATCCTAAGATAATTTTTGTTCATCGGTAAGCTTTACTAGTCTCATACTGTCTCACAAACTCGTCAACTTTTTAAGTCTGTAAATTCTCTTTGACCTTGCAATAGACAATAGGTGTTTTGTCTTGGGAAAAATCTGATCCGGCTGACCAGTGAGCAAAGTTAATCTGTTTTAAACAGATGTTTTAATATATAGCTCAGTGTTATATGTTTACATCACAAAAATAATAACAGTCATTTGGAGTGAGATACTTACTATATTATCAGTTATATGCTTGGTTAAAAGACCCCAACCGAAGCTGCTACCTTGACGCGGTGGTCGGGCTTGCCTATCGTGATGACCCAACCGAGCTATATTGGCTGGAACATATGTTCCTGTAGGTTCTACCAAGCCAAGCAGGTCGATTGGAGAACGGTAAGACTAAAAGCAACAACTCAAGGTCTGAGGGTGAAGTCGTACTGCTGACTGTAGAGGGGTGTGACAGCAGTAAGCTGTTTCCTTCAGACAACCAGCATCTGCAGCGATGCTGCCTTCCCACAAGGAGGGGTGGGGTTAGAAAAGGTCGACCCTAAAAATGTCACACCTCACCTTACCTCACGGATTTCCGTCTCCGGCGGTAAGGCCCTTTGAAGAACGGAGCTAACACGTCAAAAACCTTCCACAAAAAGGCCGTGCGCGACCGGCCTGAAGCAGTTGACCCTTGGGCTCTGCGGTCACGCTCCCAGGTCGTTAAGACCAACACTAATCCAATTTCCTTTTCAGGTTCCTCAATAAATACGCTTTCACGGTGTGGGCAGCTGGGAAGTGACATCAGCCTTCATACCCGTAACAGCACACGAGACCAAGTTGGTTACATTCAAATCCTTTCTACACCTCTTAATACCTCTCTCATCTCCATGACTAACCCTTCTCACGTCCCTTTATCACTTCGCGCTGCTAGTGCAAAAGATTCGGGTACGCGGGACGTTATTCCTGGTCTCTTAAAACCGCTCTCCAAACCACATGTAGGAGCTTTTACCGTCCGGACACTGCCAAATAGGACAAAAAACATTCCTGGCTAGAACTTTAGAATCTCGCTCCATCGATTTATGCTGCGTCTCCGAAACGTGTATGCAGGGTCCGAGTAGCGTCATTCACTTGACCTCACCATGCCAAAATAAAGAACCAACTAGATTCACACTTCGTCTATCTGGAAGCTCTGATTCTGCTTCCCGTGGCCTCGCCGGCGTAAGCATAGCATTGAGCCCTAGGGCAGAACTAGCTTCCTTCGAGTGGATCCCAGTAGACAGTCGTTTGTGCGCTGTCCGACTGAACGGAACAGTAAGGATCCGAAAAGATAGGGACACTCGTCGTTGCCTCTTCGTCGTCTCTGCCTATTCTCCCACTGACTGCAGCTCAGATGACGTAAGAGATTAGTTTTACAGAAAGCTCTCCGACCTTCTCCGAAAGTCTGGGCGCTCTGATGTAGTAATAGTGACCGGTGACTTTAATGCTCAAGTAGGTGAACTAAGCGATAGGGAAAGACACCTAGGTGGATCTTATGGTGTCGTGGCTCAAAGAACAGATAATGGCGACCGTCTGTTGCAGCTATGCTCAGATATCCGCCTATATCTTGCAAATACTAACTTTAAGCATAAGGAAAAACATCTTTTAACATGGCGACCCCCTAATTCGTCCCAACGTTGGACCCAGATAGATCAAATCGCTATCAACCACCGATGGACAGGCTCGATAGAAGACTGTCGCTCATTCTGGAGCACATGCTTAGATTCAGATCATGCTCTAGTGCGAGCGCGTATCTGTCTGCGTCTTACTGGACGTAGGAAAGACGCTGCAAGGAAACCTCTTAGGGGCCTACTTAATGATAACCAAGCTAAAAATATATTCCAGGAACAACTAGAAAAACAGTTAGGCAGCCATGTATGTGATTCCCACCTCGAATCAGCATGGAATGATATCCGAAAGGCTGTGGAAACTGTGGTGATATCTGCTAGTAAGGTAAACCACAAGGTTAGGGAGAAACACTGGATCTCAGCGTCATCTATTGCACTGATAGATGCTCGGAAACTCATTCCACCTGGCTCTGAACATAATGAAGAGCGGAGTCAACTTAAGCGCAAGCTGGAAAAGAGTCTTCGCAATGATCGTGAACAGTGGTGGGTAGCGAAAGCAAGAGAGATGGAAAAGGCAGCGGCAATAGGTAATAGCAGACAATTGTTCAGACTTGTTAAGGAAACCGGTATTAGGAATTCGACTGTTAGCGAAACACTCTCAGAAAAAGATGGACATATTATACATTCTCAATCCAGGAGATTGGATCGATGGGCAGAACACTTTAGGGATCAGTTCAACTGGCCTTTAGCTACACTTCGGTTTCCCACGATCTCCAGTCAACCTGAATGGCAAGTTAATGTAGGTCCTCCGTCTCTTTACGAAGTTGAAAAAGCCATAGGAAATCTGAAGCGAGGGAGAGCAGCAGGCCCTGACAGGTTTACTCCTGAGATTTTTAAGGATAGTGGTTCAGTATTAGCAGTGAGACTAACTGAGGTCTTGGGTAGAATTCGGGAACTGGACGTAACCCCATCTGACTGGTCTCAACCACTGATTGTGTCAGTCTATAAGAAAGGACAAAAGTCCTCTTGTGACAATCACAGAGGAATCAGTTTTACAAATACAGTGTCTAAAATATTGACTTCAATAATACTTCGACGCCTAACCAAAGCTCGTGAAGAGCAGATTAGAGAAAACCAGGCTGGTTTTCGACCTGCACGTGGTTGTATAGATCATATATTCACACTACGTCAGGTCCTAGAACACAGACACACATTCAGACGCCCCACTATGGTGGTATTTCTCGACCTTAAGGCGGCATTTGACTCTGTTGATCGTGAGGTTCTATGGCACTGTTTGTCACTGAAAGGAGTACCAAAGAAGTACATTAACCTTATAAAGGCTCTCTACTCGAACACAACTGGTAGAGTGAGAGCTTATGGCGAACTGTTATCAGAATTGATTACCTCAAGTGGTGTTCGTCAGGGCTGTCCACTCTCTCTATTCTTGTTCAACTTTGTCGTCGACGTACTTTTGGAGCTAACACTTTCCTCGTCTGACTTTCCAGGGGTTGAATTTCTATCGGGAAATTCACTTGTTGGCTTGGAATATGGCGATGACATAGTTGTATTTAGTGAAGACGCTGACAAAATGCAGAGTCTTCTGACCACTCTAAGCAACAATGCAAGCATGTTCGGGGTGCGATTCTTTCCCTCGAAATGTAAAATGTTGCTTCAGGATTGAGCTGCATTGATACCCGAACTAATGATAAGGAGTGAAGTAGTTGAGCGTGTCGACCACTTCACTTATCTTGGAAGTCTCATCAGTCCTTGTGGTCTGGTGTGTGACGAAATCTCAGCACGGATACAGAAGGCTCGATTAGCTTTTGCCAACTTGCGTCATCTATGGCGTAGGCGAGATATCCGTCTATCAACCAAAGGACGTGTTTACTGCTCAGCAGTTCGTCCCGTCCTACTTTATGGCAGTGAAACATGTCCGGTAAGAGTAGAGGATATTTGTAGCTTACTAGTATTTGATCATAGATGTCTTCGAAACATTGCTCGTATATCGTGGGACCATCGAGTAAGTAATGCAGTTGTTAGGAAACGGGTACTAGGTAAGGATGTCAAATCAATTGATGAAGTAGTGAAACTTCATGAGTTGAGATGGCTGGGACATGTGTTACGTATGCTCAACCATCGACTGCCTCGACATCCGATGTTTTGTTGCATAGGAGTAGATTGGAAGAAAGCTAGGGGCGGCCAGACCAAAACATGGCACAAGTCCATGAAGTCACTGACAAGTAGACTGAGTCATATTGGTAGGTGTAGACTACCTGATTGGGATCCGCGAGATGATAGCAACCGATGGTTAGAGACCCTGAATGACATGGCTCAAAATCGTTTGCAATGGCGCAGGTGCATCCACTCTTTGTGTTCTCCCAAATTCTAATCTTCTGAATTCTTCATGTCCCTTTCTTTTTTCTCCTTCCAAATTTATTTCACTGTTTTATACTCCTTGAATAACATCTTCAGACCCTAATTTTTCTGATTTCAGCTTATAATTTTACTACATCTAGCACTACGGGATTTGAATCGACCACTGCATCTCTGTGCTAATGTGGTGTGGCAACTCGAACTGATGTACGTACGTAAGAAGTTGTACGTTGTTACCGACTGACTGGTTAAAAGATTTGGTAACGGATATACCTCACTGTATGACGTACCCTAACAAACATTGAACATTGACTTACACCTTCTTTTAAGTTACTCTCCAAGATTCTACAAATACCCCAGATGGGTGAGGGTAGGGAGAGCCACCACCACAAATGTCCCCATGTGACCACGCATTTATTAGCCACTGTCAGAGGAGTCCTCCAGACTGCATTATCAAGTGAGGAGGGGTGTTACTTAAGGAATCGAGAGGACGAAAACAGGATGTTCGGCATTTAAACTGGGTGGGTGTAAACGGGTGATCCACCTAAAGGAGTTAGAAAACCCTGATTCCAAACCGACGGTACACATGGGTTCCAGGATGCCGAAGCAACAAAAGGTGTATGAACGTATTGTTGGTCACCGGCTACCATGGGACTGCATCTCCCAACGTTGTTTCATTGCCTTTTGGATTAGATCGCTAGGGGAGTGGCTCCCTAATAGCCCAGCTGCTCCCATTCGTGCTTCTGGCGAGTATCCCAGGCCACACACAAGCTCAATGATTTGTATGGAGTACATATATTGTTGTGCCCGTTTGTGTTAATGTTTGTGCTTAACTAAATAGATAAATAAAGATTCATTTTTATGGTAGCAATATCGTTCACGTTTAGTTTGTTAGGATTGGTTTCTTCTATTAATATGGAAGCCGTCATCTGTACTTTTGTAAAAATAACTTAACACTACGTTGGCTTACAGGCACTATTGTTTCGAGAACCTTATTACATCCATGCAATAGAGCTAAACATCACATTTTTGTATAAGAAGTACTTGGATACTAGTTCACATAACCTGTTCACTTTAACTACCCCATATCCTGGTTTTGGGTGTTATCCTACTGATAATGACTGTTTTCCGTTTATCCTCAAGTTTCGAAAAATGTTTATGAAAGTTAGTCAACGATCCAAAATCATCCAAAGAACTGCTGAGTCGAAAAAACTGTAGCTTAAAAATCTTTAGTAACACACTCAATGTTATGGTAACTGTAGAGTGGGTGGAGTTACCAAGTGTTAACTCTAAAATATCTTAAAGTTTTGGTGAATGTAATACTCACTGACTGAGTTGGTAGTATAATAATTATTCTCGGGCAAACGGGTGGTTCCTACCAAATGAAGTTTTTATTTCAGTGTCATAAATGATATCCATTAGGTTTGTTTTAAACGCTCATAGCTCTCATAAAGAGGTTACTACTAAATTCTACATATTTTCCACAGGTTTAGCGGCTTTTATTCGTGAAACTCAGAAACAATGCTCCATATCCAGTCCAACCACATCTATTGAACTGCCTCTAACGTCAGTTTTCCCTCTTCAAACTGAAACAAAATTAACTTCTTCGTGTTCTGTCAGGCAAGTTGCTTCACCTTCCTATCTTTTACCTGCTGCATCCACTCCATCTTTTCTACCAATGACTCCGGTCCCACAAAATCTTCCAACTGTTTTAGAACAGCCTTTACACTCAGAATCAGTAGCAGTAAATCATAATACTCATCCATCACCACCTATTCAATCAACTGCATTCATATCTTTACAACCTGCACCAGGTTCTTTAATTAGTCCTTCTGATTTACAACAGCTTGTAGCAAGTGGAGAATTCATGTCCTCAGCAGCTCGGGTAAGTTCATCTCTTATATAATCAAGAATATACTATATAGAAGTATCTAAATGTCACTGTAATACCACGTTACCACTTCATACTTCGATCTAAGCATAGAGTTGTTTTAAAAAAATTTCAATCAAATATTATCACTGCTCAAGTTTAACTAGACTTTGTTTCATACACTTCTGACAATCAATTTTCATTGAATATTCGTTTTGTTATAGTTTGAGAACATCTCTTAAGTTTTCTTAGTATTGAGCTTAGTTTCTTCGTCTTTCAGTTAAAGTATATTTTGTGGTCTAGTTGCTAATTTATTGTTCACCAAATTTTAGTTGTTTTGGAATATAGATTGACCAGAAATGATATTGGTACATGGTCATTACTGTTTATCATCTAGTTAGTATTATAGCGCAAAACGGGTTATGACTTCCTTTCTAGTCTCATATTTCAGTTGAATTCACTATCATCTATAATACGCGACGTAGAACCTCTTACACATGTGTATCAATTCTAGCTGTCATACCACATTGACAAAGCGAGATAAAATTATTTTTAGACAACCCAGAGTAGTGGGACTAGCAACAGTATCAGTAGTGTTAATAGAAAATATTTAGTATAGAAAAAGAAATAAGGTATGAGGAGATTTCGGGACTCATGTTCCGAAAGAAGACAAGAAGTCGATACATGTGCACAGTTGCGAACGATTTTGAACTATATCACCTGAATTCTCTAACCACTTGTTACGGTAGTCGCGTGTACCCTAACCAGATAGGTCGCACCTACGTACCTGAGTCAGTCCAATTTCCATTGGCTTCATAGATTGGTGCCACATCTTCGATCTCCCCTAGCCTTCTCCCAACCTAATTCTACACTAGACATCACTCATCGAGGTAGCCACTCGTTGGGCAAACGTAACACTACCCCATCAGTCTATTTTCCATGTTTACCGAGTACCATATCCCTAATCTCGACATAACCTTATTCGATGGTCTGAAAGTGCACGATTAATGCTCGATTTGAGTTACTTATAAGCCATTCAACTTTAAATATTGCCATGGAGTGAAATAGTACTTGTTCTGCAGTAAGACAGGTAAAAGTTTTATTCCAGTTTAACGTTTGTGAATTTTTTTTCACTCCGGTCATAATACTAAACTTTCAAAAATATTTTGACGTTATTCATGAAACATCCTTTTAGATTTTACCCCATAAAAGCTCCGTAACAATTTGAGTTTTTATGTGAACTTGACCAAAGTTTACGTTCGTTATGACATTAATGTTTATCATTCGCTCTTGGTAAATAGATGTTTTTGATTCAGTATTTTTTATTATAAATAACAATAATAATGGAGATTTTAGATTGTTTTAATCTGAGTTGCATGTGATGTAATACTATCAGATAATTCTCAAATATATGGCTTTCGTATCCTTCAATAACTGTCATGATAATATACTAACTATGTAGTTTGGTTCTTTGGATTTAGCAAACTTTACTTGGTCAGTCTTCTGATGGATCTACACGACAACTTTATCTGCTCGTACCAAGTGACTGTCCTGTAATTATGCCAAGAGTTTCAAATAACCAACCAACTATGACTCCTATTCTACCATCTACATCTCCTTTGATTGAATCTATTCCCACAAGTGCCCCAATATTGGAAGCTATATCCCCAGGTGTAGAACCTGAAGAAAATTGTGTTCAAATGCAATCTGAATTGTCAACATGTAACAATGCACAACAGGTGCTAACTTCTGTTTCACATTTAGCAACTACGATGCTTAACCCAATGAGTTCTACATCCACGACAGCATTATCTACTTTCCTGGCTGGTTTAGAAGCTCGTAATCATCAACCTATACAACAGATTCAACTAGGTGGATTACCTTTATCTGCTGCGACATCTTCGCTGTCTTGTTCATATTCTGACTCTTCATCAGCCCACACTGCTAAAGACTCATCGGCTCCCAGTTGTTCACAACTCAGAATTCCACTTCAAGTTTCTGGCCTTCCCATGTCCGAGAATGGTTCATTATCAGTTGAACAAAATGTTTACCCTGTTAAAAATAACGTTGCAAACTCTATATTAGGTGTTGTAAAAAGTAAGTTTTAATATAGATTTTATGAAAGAAAAAAAACAACCCGTTAGTTCTTAAATTGTATTGTGAAGACAAATTTCCACATCTATATTCCATTTTTTAAAACAGGCATTTACTGACTATAGTCAAACTTTTGCCTTTTTTAAAATTTGATTTTAAAAATGGTATAGAAACATGACAACAGTCCAGAGGAATGTTCATTATTCATTAATTATGGAAATATCCTTTTCCATTCTTTTACAAATAATTCAAGTTATATACATTATAAAACCAGACACATTTGTGCTTCGGCTCATGTTGTCATACTACATTGTCGTAGTGAGATTTCAATACAAATTCCACTAGTAAAAATAGTAACAGTATCAGTAGTCATAGAAAACGAAAATAAGATATAAGATCCTGAAACTTAAGATCTAAGTGGAATTAAAGAGTGAATGCATGTACACAATTGTCACCGATTTCGACCCATATCACACAGTCTCTAGCCATTGGTTACGATAATTGCACACTATGCACTACTATATGGTGACTATAAATCATTTTCATATCTAGATACCGTTTATTCGTTTGTGTTCTACACGAATTACCTTAGGATATAAAAATTGAGGTTGACTAGACCGAGATATCCCATTACTTTATGAAGTCACTGCTGATATGTAGACATCCTAATGAGTTCACAAAGTGATCGTATCCTGCAGTTAAATGTCTTAGGTGATATAACTCAGCCTGTAGGTACGTCACAGATACATACTATTTTCATCCTTCTCTAAACATCGAGCTTCAATGTTCCATACGTTTCATTTACTGATCTCACTCTTTCTCAATCTATGTTATCAGTGTCTTTTTTCTGTGGTTAATATCAATATTCCTTTTTCTCTACGTTTTATCTTGTTGATTTCCTTGACTGTGTTGTATTCCCTAAACGGAGTGTTTGATATTGACTTCCTCGCTCTCTTTCTCTCTGTGTGTGTGTGCGCCAAAATGAAATGTGAAAGCTTTGAACCAACACACACACATATTTGCAGCAGGTTTTAACGTTGTTCATTTTAGTCTAATTTCGATTTATTTTCTCGATTCTGCACTATTAAACTGAGTCAACCAAATATTCTAATTATTTGATATTCATTATATCTGGATACTCTATCTAATAGTAACCATATTTCTCAAATAAGTTTAAAAATATAATTACGTAATTCTGTTCTATTTATATGTATCTTTTTATAGTCTTCTCCAGCATTTATAACAGATCTATTTACTGTATTGTCGTCACTTTATAGGAACACTTGTGCTCCAATTTTACGTTTCATTGTTTTCTTTTTGTGTGTGTATGCTAACAACTTTATGTTTGCATGTGTATGTCTACACTCTTATTCACTGAATAATTAGTTGTTTTTTATCTTGTTCACAATTAAACACCTTTACCAAGTATCCACACTTGTTTTTATTTTAAATAACCACTTTTTTCACTCTTACTATTCATATTATTTCACCCGTTATTTGTGAATTAATCTACTAGTCCTGACATAATGGTTAACTAAAGTCTTTACCTTTGAATGCTGACATTTTTTTATCTGAGACTAATTCAATTCAATCCATAAACATTCGTGGTTCAGTTGTCTTGTTATGAATTAGAGAATTATTCCCTTTACTCTAATCTTAGTACTGTGTCCAATCGCTAATCTTCCAACAAATGTATTCATCGATATAAATCTTTTCACTGAGCGCATCCGTTAAAATTACTACCCCGGTTTCCTACCAACACATAAAAGAGCGAAAGGAAATCAATAAAAGATACCGGAATAAGCATTATTATCATTATTGATTTATTTTTACTAACTTTATTCAATATTATATTTTTAGTACAATATAGAATTATCAGCACAAAGTATTTCAGCGAGTTTTCGTTTCTTATTTCTTGATCGATATTGACGATAAATATTGATTGATCGCCAGTTAGATATTAGCATTTCAGAAGTCGACATCTGAATAATATTCATTCTGTTCAATTACACTGCCAGCCATCACGATGTCTCCGATTGTAAATTTTTGTAACTTGTACAGCGAAAGGTCGTAGACTTTTCAAAAACACACCTGAATAGGTTATACAATTAATTGGCATAATGATCTGTTAAAACAAACAATGAAACATAAAACTTGTTGAAATATCTAGATGGCAGGAACAGGTAGCCCGGATATTCAAGCAGGTCATCCGGATCATAAACCATATGGAAAGGAAAAATGAACAGGATTGACTTATGGACAACCTTTGAAAGTGACCTTGAGAAACGTCACCCCAATTGCTGGAGTTATAGGTTATGGGCGGAATTAAGCCAGAGTTAGGGTTAAAAATTAAGATTGAGATTTCCATCACGAAATGTCATCAACTATCATGCCAAAATGTTAATGAAATGTATGAATGACTGAGTTTCGCGCCAAAATCTATTGGTCGTCTCATCGGTTCGTCAAGAAATTCTTGTCTTTCGGAAGAATGCGGCTCAGAATTGATGTTCACTTCTTATGTATCTTTGTGTGATGGGTGAGTATGCACCGTTTAAATGCCTAAAGCATCTTAAGTAGCATTAGATTCGTACATATAACCTACAATTTAAAGTTAATAACCTAAAACTAAATCACAAATACACATGGGTAAAATTACTGTAGCGTAATGAAATTTAGGGCATGACAAGAAAACTCAACCGTTCGGTATTATAACTTTACTCGCTTCGAAAATTCTCTACATAGTATCTCAGAGTGAATGACAGAAAATTGTGGCCACCTAACTTTCGTTAAGGTTCACAAAGTCTTCTTCGTCACGCTTTCCAAAACAGTGAAACAGCTCAGAGAAAATGTGCTTTTCTTCTACACCCTATGGGCTTTGGTGGAATGATTTTGCTATTTGCACGGTCAAAACGTAGATTATTTGACTCTCGAAGTAGCTGGGTTGAGTAACAAGACAAACAAGATAAATATCCCTCCACAAAGCTCTAAAACCCCAGCAAAGATCAAAATGTTTTGTCCAATCAGTATTGAATAGGAACTTCTCAGAAACATCCAGAAAAATAAAGAATTATGTGCCATAAGCTATGATAGATAGTGGCTACCAGCAAAATCCAGGATACGCGCTTCATTCTTTTTGGGACTCATCTGGATTTACCTGCTTGTAAATTAAGGCAATATCGAGGCAGTGCTCATAGTATGAACATATGCCAATAAGAGACTGAACGATTGGAGTCCTAAACATCAATGGGAAGATTCAAGTAAACAATACCAAGTGAATTATGTGTCACATTTCGATCGGATAATTACAAATGTTGCTACTAAATTTGGTATGTTCTAAAAGCTTGTATGAGACCAAGGTCATACAAAACATTATGAATACATACGGTATTCTGTACACACTCTTAAAGGCTCTTACATTCAGTACTTTTCCTCTATTGTTCAAGTTGAAGTGTAAAAGTAGTCTCAAATGGTGAAGACATCAATCTCAATGCAACGAAATTTTTTGTATATATATCAAGCTGTATTTGGGCTAGTAGTATCAAGAAGTTTGTGTGCAGTTAGTCCTTTTCTATAAATAATCAGTTACTGTATAACAGGAATGAGTATTTAAATAAAAATCTTTTATTTATTTATTTAAACACAAACATTGGTACGAGGCACCAAATATATGTGCGCCACACAAATCATTTGGTTTGTGTGAGGGCTGGGATACTGCCCAGGTGCTCAGATCGAACCAGGTGATTTTCTTAAAGGGCCACACCTTGAGCCGTTGACCTAGATGTCTAATCCACAAGATAGAGGGACAACTTTAGAAGTTGCAGTCCCATGGTAGCCGGTGACTAATAATTCGTTCATACGACATTTGTCCCTTCAGAATCCTGGAGCACGTGTGCACCATTGGTTTGGAATCAGGATTTTCCAACTCCCCTAAGTGAATCCGCCATATCCACCGACCCGGTTAAAGTGCTGGACATTCGCTTTTTGTCCTCTCAATTTCGTAAACAACACCCCTGGTGTGAGAAGGCAATGAGTAGGACTTCCCTGACAGTGACTGTATGGACGTGGCCATGTGGTAGCATTTGAAGAGAGAGCTGACTCTCCTTACCCTCGACTGTACCAAGGCATTTGGGGGCAATAAATGTTGCTTTGCATTGTAGACTTATTAATAACGTGGTTACAGGAGTTTTCGTCTGTTGTCTCTTATCATCTAATTTCGGTCAATATATGATTTTCATCAATGGGGTGTGGAATAGGTATCGATCAACTGGGAAAAGACACTACATTGTTGAAACACAAATGCTATTAAAACACACTTTTCCAATCAGGAACTTAAAAGTTGTGTGTAAAAGAAACCGAACGTGAATTTAAGCAGTTTATTCGTTATCTATATATAATCTGTCATTGAATACTGTGTAAACTGTACAGAATAAATCGTGATTTCTACAACTGTTATTGAGTAATTTTTAATCATTCGTGTAATCTTAACACGTTTTTAGTTAATAACGTGGTTAGTGTTATGATAAAAGTTATACCAACCATCAATCTATTGTAATTGGATAAAATACATGTACTGCTACTAATATATGAGTGTTTGTTATGACTGAAAAAAATTATTAGTCGTTACAGCAGGACAGGAACTAGCACGGTTTTATGTAGAGAAAGTGAAGACTATATATTTATTTATACATCAACCACTGATTTCGTAATCTACCTGAAATGTACAATGTTCTATCTGATTTGCTTTAATCGAATATGAATATATCCAACTCCATGTAGTTGACATTAATCAATCACTGTATGCATATAATAAATTAAATTACTGACTTACGTCTATAGATTTTTGCTTCTTCGTGATACAACCTTTCATGGTTGATTTAATCTAAATCTATATACTCGGATAAATTAACTTTTTTGCTAATACATTACACACAAGGATAAGATTTGTACGGATTTGATTTATGTCCAATAGCTTATAGTTGTTTTTTAATCAAAATTTATTCGGTTGAAAAAACCTACTTATCCCTTTTGTATTCAGTGAGAAATTTTGTCATTTCCAATTATCATTTCAATGATGATACTTGTATTTATGTAGTGGCAATGATCTACAGATGTACATTTTATTTTTCTTAATTTTTGTTGTTATAGGTGATCCTGATATGTACACTCCTAATGGGCATACTTATTCATCTCTAGTAGATGAAACTAATCGATTCCGATCTTATCCAACGTATACTCAACAATTATCTCATCATTTACCTCATGGTACAACTGTACGACAGTCTGTTTTAGCTGCCGCTTCTACAACATCAAATAATTCTTTCTTCCAACAAGAATCTTCAAATTCTTTATTATTAAATCAAACGTGTTCTGTACCAAGTAATGTCACGTCAAATAATACGACCACTGCTACTATTACTACTACTACTAATAATAATAATAACAATGGAGAGGAATCATTAACAAATGGACATTTTCAGTCACCAATGTCACATTCAAATGTTTCAGCAACCAATACATTTACTACTTCATTAACACCTAATTCAGATAAAACTCCACAGTTGCCATCATCATCTAAGTCTAACACTTCAATAGATGAATGTCGTAGAAATTCAGTAACAAACACAATGTTAAATACATCCAGCAATCGGTCAGAACAAGTCAAGGGTAAGTATTTCATGTAAATTACATACTTTTAAGATTTAATGTTTTAAATTGTTTGTAAGGAGATTGTTAGTCCGATTAAAAAATTCAAGTATATATATACGTGTATATGTATGCCTTGTATTTCCTAAGAAAGTTTTTCAGATCAGAAGATGATGCGGCGAAAATTTGATTCTTTTTCTTGGGTGTTCTGTCTTGTGAACTGGTTTAAAGGTGTTTTTAATTTATAGGAATTTTTAACCCTAAGAATCAACCTCAACTGTATGTCGAGTTAACTGATACGACTAGAAGAGTTTGTGAACAGAAGTGTACACATTTTTAGTGGTATAAAGAAGCGCCCAAATACAAGATAAGACATCTATTCATGAGCATACTGACTATTGAACTGAACGGAACCATATAGGTAGATTCATTATGCCTGGTTTAGGGTCCGCATAATTCTCGACACCTAGGCAAAGACTTCATGTGAAATAATGACTCAAAACCATTCACAGTGGCTCAGGCACATTTATTCTTTGTCTTCCTTGAAAACCTGAGTCTCTAAATTACTTTATAAATTTTTTTATATTTCACTGACTCCATATTACCTAATCTCTTACCACTAATGCTACTACAACCTCGACTATCATGAGATTTATTCTTATAATTTCATCTTGTACTAATGAGTGTATAACAATTTGAACTAATGTACACATGTGCCAGACTCTACATTGCATTTAACTGATTGAATAGTATAAACATTCAAAACATTCTGTGTTCTAATAGTTGGATTTATGAGTCGAGCTAGACCACCATTGAAAACCTGGAAGCACTGGACGGTCGTTTTGTCCCAGCGTGGGACTCCTCAGCAGTGCTCATCCATGATTCCACACACGGGACTCAAACCCCCATTCTGATAATAATCACTAGTGACTGGCTCCAAGATAGATTTCCTGGATTTCTAGTTGTGAAGAAGTTACACACTGAAGACAAGGGGAGATAGTCGCGCATTATCGTAGATTGACTGAAATTAGACATTAACACCGTTGGGTACCGGCTCATTGGTTCAGAGGCTAAGCGTTCGCGCGCGAGACCGAAGTCCTCGTTCCGAGTTCAACATGCAGTGTCGTGTCACGTTTCGATTGGATAGTTACAAATGCTGCTACTGTATTTTGTATGTTCTAGAGGCTTGTGTGAGACCAAAGTCATAAAAAGTATCATAAATACGTCTGATATTCTATAACTGTTCAACTGGCTTTCAGCTACCCTACAACTACCCTCCATTCGCAGACAGTGTGAATGGAACTTTGAAGTAGGTTCCCCAAATCTAGCTGAATTTCAAAAGGCTATAGTTAATCTGAAACGAGGAAGAGCAGCTGGTCCAGGTAGATTAACTCCAAAGATCTTTAAGGATGTTGATCCAATTTTAGCGATAAGCTTGATTAATATTTTAGCTAAAATCTGGAAATTCGACGTTATCTCATCTGACTGGTCACAATCACTGATCGTCCCAATATATAAGAAGGGGTCAAAATCATCCTGTGACAACCATAGAGGGATTAGTTTAAATGATATAGTATCTAAAATACGAGCCTCGATAATTATCAGACACCTAACTAAGACTCGTGAACTGCAAACACGAGAAAATCAAACTGGCTTCAGACCTGGTTGTGGTTGCATCGACCACACATTCACTATTCTTCAAGTTCTAGAACACAGGCATACTTGTCGGCGTCCGCCAATGGTGGTCTTTCTTGACTTAAAGCAGCACTTGATTCCGTAGACCGCGAGATTCTGTGGCAGTGTCTGTCATTGAAAGGCGTACCTCAGAATTACATAAACCTTGTGAAGGCTCTTTACCCGGACACTACCAGTCGTGTCACAACTGATGGCGAACTGTCATCTGATTTTGCAACCTCAAGTGGTATCGGACAGGGCTGTCCACTATCTTCATTTCTATTTAATCTCATCCTAAACGTACTGATGGAAATAACGCTTTTGTGGACTGAATTTTCGGGCATTGATGTCGTACCAGGATGTTCACTTATCGACTTAGAATACGCAGATGACATTGTCCTGTTTGGTGAAGACTAATAAAATGCAGAGTCTTTTGGTAGCATTAAGCAACAATGCCAGAATGTTATGGATGCGCTTGTGTCCTTCTAAATGCAAGTTGTTGCTTCAGGACTGGTCTGCGTCAACACCTGAACTAAGGATAAAAAGAGTGAAGTAGTCGAACGCTTTGACAACTTCACTTATGTTGGAAGTCTGATCAACCCTTATGGGTTGGTGCCTGACGAAATCTCAGCACAGATTCGAAAAGCTCGTTTGGCTTTTGCCATCTTACGTCACCTATGGCAAAAGTAAGATATCCATCTGTCAATAAAAGGACGAGTATACTGCGCGGCAGTCCGTTCTGTATCAATTTATGGCAGTGAAACATGGCCATTAAGAGTAGAGGATATTTGTAAGCTACTAGTATTTGACCACAGATGTCTCAGAAATATTGCTGACGTCTGGTGGGATCACCGGGTAAGTAATAGTGAGGTTAAACACAAGGTATTAGGGAATGATGGTTAATCAGTTGATGAGGCTGTGAATCTTCATCGACTGAGATGGTTGAGCCACGTGTTGCGTATGCCTGAACAGCGATCACCACGACGTGCAATGCTATCCGGTATTGGAGATGGTTGGAAGAAAGTTAGGGGCGGCCAGACCAAAACGTGGCATCAGTGCTTGAAGTCACTAACTTGTAGTCTGAGCCATGTTGTTGGCAGATGTAGACTACTTGATTGGGGTCCGCGTGACTATCGTAACCAATGGTTGTAGACTCTGTGTGACATTGCTCAGAATCGATCACAATGGCGTAAGTGTATACATTCTCTGTCTTCCCTTAAACTAAGAGATAAAATCACTTCATATCTTTCTTTCTACGAACTAATTCTTTCTTCCTGTACTATATCCTTATATGCAATCTTTCTTTTATATATTGCCACCATTGAATTAACCACTCCTATGAATCCGGTGTTCATCTTATTGTGCTAATAAGGTATGGAAACTTGGACCGATGCACATATGTGCCTGGTCGGTCCTACGTTGTAGCTGACTGACTGATATTCTATGCACACTCTTAAGGGGTCTTACATTCAATACCTTTTCTCTATTGTTCACGTCGAAGTGTAAAATTAGTTTGAGATTATAGGATGGATCTGGGACGTCAATAACAAGCATTCAATAAACAGATCACCTTTTCCACGTATTCCCTCGCATCTATCATTTTACCTTTTTCACTGACGTATATATATATATATATATATATATATATATATATATATATATATAGTGCTTATTTTAATATTTCCTGTTTTCTCAGGCTCTACAACCTATCTAGAACATTTAAATCCAGAATCCAAAGATATACGACGTCGTGTCAGCCACAATGAAGGTAAATAATTTTACAATTCAATGATTATTGTGTTTTTGTTTTGCCGCATTTCTCGGCATACTTTGGCAATGTGGTGATGTTTTTCTTTTCGTTATGGGGAGAGAAAGAAGAGGTCTTACTAACAACCTTGACCTCATTGATCACGTGTATAGCCCTTTTGTTTTCTATTGATCTTTAAGTCACTGAAATGTTTTCTTACGACTGTGTGTTTTGGATGTATATACAAACTGAATTCCGTACTGTTAAGAACAACGGACGATGTTAGATAGTGTAGAAGGTTAGAAGAAACTAGGCATTATATCAATCTTTAAAGTCATTAGTCGTGAGGATCTTTGGCAGTGTTTGTCACTGGGATGAATACCAAAGAAGTATATTAACATTGTACAGGCTCTCTACTCGAACACAACTGGTCAAGTGAGAGCTTACGGCGAACTGTCATCGGAATTGATTACTTCAAGTGGTGTTCGTCAGGGCTGTCCACTCTCTCCATTCTTGTTTAACTTTGTCGTTTACTTACCTCTAGAGACGACACTTTCCTCATCTGACTCTTCAGGAGTCGAACTTCTACCGGAAATTCATTTGTTGACCTAGAATATACCGATGACATAGTTCTATTTGGTGAAGACGCTGACAAAATGCAGAGTCTTCTGACCAATCTAAGCAACAATGCAAGCATGTTCGGCATGCATGGATTAGACCTCTAGGTCAAGGGCTCGGGGTGTGACCCTTTACGAAAATCACCTGGTTCGATCTGAGCACCTGGGCAGTATGACTGTAGTGGCTTCTGTTCGCTAATCAATCCACCTTGGCAGCCGTTATAATATAAATCTAAACGGTGTTTGAAATCAGAAGGCAGTGAGAAGCGGCAACTGCAGTGATGATCACAAAGCTATATGCACTTCAAGAGAATTCGAAGCAGAAAGGCGAATATGTGTATGCGAGCAAATACAGTCGCAAATTTATAGTCAAATCTCATTAGGGCACAGCAAGGCCAAGCTAAAGTCAATAAAAGGATTTGAGTATAGACATACATGGGGAGGAGGATGAGTCATCGGGTGATATTTAAGCAATCAACATTTTAGCTAGGGTCTATCATGTGATCTAGTGATCATAACAGTACAAATAAATATGCGAATTGTTACTGTTCTAATAACATAGTTTGTTAAGTTAATAAAAGGGTTTAACCAAAATTAGACATAATCGAGGTTAGTTGTAGATAGTTGCTATATGAAAGCCTACACACAAAACAATTGACTTGTGGGGCGCTATATATTCGGTGCCCGTTTTGTACCAATATTTATGTGTTCAAATAATAATAATAATCGTCTCAGTAACCACAATTATTGATTGAAGATTAAGTGAAACGCCTCAGAATCGGTCACAAACTGTATTCAGTTTTCGTTTCTTCCAGACATAGAATCTTATTATTTCTTTATACGTGTTTTTGTTTCCTTCTGTCTTTTCAAATCATACTCTTGATGATTATAGTGTTTCTTATTTTCGTATGGTACTACAACTATTTTAATATTTTCTTATACTGTATTGATGATTGATAGATTGTTTACATGTATTCATTTAGTGTTCCAGATCTTCATTAAAATCTTGAACCATATGTATAAATATTTTCATCATTTACCAGATACTAATACCCCTTTTTACGACAGTATTTTTGTTGTAATTTTCAATTACATCATCTAGATCTTTCTTAACTATCCACATAGCTTCATTGGAAGCTATCTAACTAAGTTTGTCTATTTGAAGATAATATTTTTATTCTCAGCTGTGTATAGTTCACCTGGGTGTGTTTTCAACGGGATTATGATTTGGAATATATGTATTTTCCGAATTACGATAATACACTTCACATTGTATTAGTCTGACAAAAAGACTACACTGATAACGAAAGTTTGTATCATATGATTTAATAAGACATATATACATATATCTTGTCCAACTGTGTCTTTTTACATTTTTATCTTATGACTCTGCCTACTCAACTGATTAGTAAATTGTTAGTGAAGTGTAACTATCATAGTCAAACCTAGATTTAATCTAGGTTTACTTTCATATACTTTTAATAAGTGCACCAAACGTTTTGCTTACAGTGTTTCAAGATTTTTGTTGTTGAATTCCGATTTGTTTTGAGATTTAACAACTCTTAGCATCTATTGTAAAACAGGATACTATTATTTCGTTTTCTAGCAATAGGTCTGTGATGAAATTAAATAGAAATGAAGATAGTGGACAGCCCTGTCCGATACCACTTGAGGTTGCAAAATCAGATGACAGTTCGCCATCAGTTGTGACACGACTGGTAGTGTCCGTGTAAAGAGCCTTCACAAGGTTTATGTAATTGTGAGGTACACCTTTCAATGAAAGACACTGCCACAGAACATCTCGATCTACAGAGTCAAATACTGCTTTTAAGTCAAGAAAGACCACCATTGTCTGACGCCGATAAGTATGCCTGTGTTCTAGAACCTGAAGAATGGTGAATGTGTGGTCGATGCAACCACAACCAGGTCTGAAGCCAGTTTGATTTTCTCGTGTTTGCAGTTCACGAGTCTTAGTTAGGTGTCCGATAACTATCGAGGCTCGTATTTTAGATACTATATCATTTAAACTAATCCCTCTATGGTTGTCACAGGATGATTTTGACCCCTTCTTATATATTGGGACGATCAGTGATTGTGACCAGTCAGATGAGATAACGTCGAATTTCCAGATTTTAGCTAAAATATTAATCAAGCTTATCGCTAAAATTGGACCATCATCCTTCGTTTTCAGAACTACCTAAACGTGGCCTCCATTGTTCCTGGAATCTACTTTTGGTTTTCTCGTCAGAAGTCAATTCTAATTGATCTTCTTAGTGTGGTTTTTCTGTGTCCAGTGAGGCCCAGGCAAATGAGTGTTCGTATTAGAGCATGGTCAGAGTCTAAACATGTACTCCAGAACTAATGACAGTCTTCTATCGAGCCTTTCCAACGATGACTGATGGCAACATGGTGTATTTGAGTTCATCGTTGGTTTTGTGCAGAGGGTCGCTATGATAGACGATGTTTCTCCTTATGCTTAAAATCAGTGTTTGCTAAAAATGAACGATTGTCTGAGCTCAGTTGCATCAGACGATCACCATTGTCTGTTCTCTGAGCCGGAATACTAAAATACCCATTTAAATATCTCTTTTAGGTTCAAGCTACCTACTTGGTCATTAAATTCACCTATGAGTATCATGAGTGTTCAGCTTTTTGAAGCAGTTCAGTAAGCTTTCTGAAAAGTTTATCTTTTACTTCATCTGGTCTGCAGTCAGTTGGAGCGTAGGCAGAAACAACATAACGGCAACAATATGTGTCACTATCCTTCTGAGTCCTTACAAAGCCGTTTAGCCGAACAGCATATAGGCGACTGTTAACGGTAATCCACTCTAGTAGTGCTTGTTCTGCCCTCGTACTCAGTACTATGTCTGCACACACCAGTACACAAGAACTAGTCATCGGGTCGCCAAATAAATGGAGGGTGTATCTCATCGGCTCTCCGTTTTGGCGAGGTGAGGTCAAGTGAATGACCACACTAGGATCCTGTATGTTTTTCGTAGACACAGAATACGTTGATGATACGAGATTCTAAGGTTTTAGTCAAGGAGGCCCGCTGGCCGATTTGGCATAGAGTACGTACATTGAAGTCTCCAATGTGTCGTTTTGAGCCGAGGTTCAGTAGATGTGGGACAGTATTTCGAGCTCAGTGACATTTGAGGAGGGAGTCAAAAGAGGAAGTTTAGAGTTGAAAGTCGAGTTAGGAGGAACAATAGGAATTAAAGAGGGAAATTGATTATGAATGGAGTGATCTTGAGTGCTGTTAGCGGTATGAAGGGAGTTATCACTTCCCGGTTGACTACACCGTGGAAGGGTTCTTCTGGAGGGAGTAGGGAAAAATCGGGTTAGAATTGGTCTGGGAGCCTGACCACAATACTCAAGGTACAACTGCTTGATGTCAGTGACACACGTCGTTTTTGTGAATAATCTTCGTGTTAGCTCCGTACTTGTTGAGACCTTACCGCTGGAGACCGATATCCTTGGGATAGGGTGAGGTGTGCATGTTGACATTTTCTAACCCCACCCTCCCTTGTGGGAAGGCGGAATCGTTTGTTATGCTGGTTGTCTGAAGGAAACAGCTTATTATCATCACACCTCTGTACATTAAATAGTATGACTTCGCCCTCGGACCTTAGGTTTGCTGCTTTTAGTCTTACCACTCTTCAACCGACCTGTCTGTCATTGTAGGACATTGAGAAACGATTGTTCCAGCCAGTATAGCTCGATTGATTCATTACGATAGCCAAGCCCAACTACCACATTAAGGTATCAGCTACGGTCGGGAGTAGGCAATATACTCGTACAGTTATTTGAAAGTAGCCCACTAGTCAATACGAAAATGGTATTCTTAAACACGATGTATGGCTAGAAGATAGCTGCATTAGGGAGTTGATTTGACTCGAAAAAGTTGAAATTCAAATCAGTAAAATAAAACACAATCAATTAGTAATTTTATCGAGTTGTAACACGTATAAAAAGAGAAACTGCGCTAGTTTCTGATGGCCTTGACATCATGACCTAACCTAAGTGTGTGTTGACATATTATGTATAGCTGATATCCTACTTTATACAAAACAATACTGATTATTTTCTTTGATCTGCTTTCGTAGTAATTAAAAAGTAGCGTTTCATGAGCTGTCAGTTCCATATCACAAACACACTTCATTTCCGCTGCTGACTAACAGTGGAATTGTACTACCTTACCTAATGGATTTTTATATGATGTGATGTCAGTTGTTCGTCCTCTACTTTCGTTTGATTTCCATGTTCCCTTTTTAACAATTTATATTGAAAAAAGGGTAGTAACCGATTTAACTGGATGGTGATGTTATCATGCAAAAGACAAACCCTGTCATCATCTATTGGTTTAGTGACTGTGTTCAAGCTTTGACTTTTGTTTTTTTGTAT